GGCTTTAGGTTTCGGCTTTAGTTAGGCTGTAGGGCTTCAGTTAGGTTTTAGGTTAAGGGTTTTGGGTCAGGGGTTTAGGGGTTTGCGGGTGGGTTTCGAGCTTTAGGACTTGGGGCTTCAGGGGTTTTGGGGTTTCGGGTTTCGGGATTCAGGCTCAGGGTTTGGGGTTAAGTGTTCAAGGGCTTTATAGGGATTTAGGGGTTTGGGATTCGCTGTTTGGAGGTTGTGGGTTTAGGGTTTGGGGTTTAGCGGTTGTAGATGGTTTTAGAGAGTGGGGTTGAGGGGTCTAGTTAGGGTTTTAGGGGTTTGGACTTGCTTCTATGAGCATCGTGGTGATGACTATTCATAGTGTTATAACAAACTCGTGTTGCTCTTCTTGATTGCTTCCGTCAGTACCGATAAGGTTTTGGTCACAGCATATCCTGTGTGGGGAAGCGATGGATTCCAACCCCAATCTGAGCAAAAGCCAAAGGAGGAAGCTGGCAAAAAAGGCCAGAGATCAGAAGTACAGGGAGCTCCAATCTTCAGCGTCTGTGACATTGCAATCTGCCAAGGCCCAGGCGGAGGCGGCTGCCGATGTGCCAACCGAGACACCCAGGAGGATCAGATCAACGCCATCGTCGATGCACGCTTGCAGTGCGTGTACCGTGTGCCGTTCGCATACACCGTGGCTCAAGAAGTTCTGCGAGAAAGAGTGGAGAAGCTGGAAGAGGAAAACCGAATCTTGCTATCCAAGAATCCAAGCTATCGGAGGAGTCCCAGGAGGGTCTTGGCACCTTCAGGTGATCGTCCGTGACTGCGTAGATGCCGTCGTGGCAAGGAAGGTGTGCGTACACTCCTTGCTATAGTAGCAGTAGATGTTGCTGGTCGATCCCCCTAGTTAGTCCCAAACATCCCTGGCATGCCCCTCCCTCCCCCCGCGAGCCGGGGTTGATGTACCGAAAACTAGTCGGGGAACGGCCGAGCTCAACCGCTATGTTTTTGCCTTTCCTTGTAGTGATGTGGCTGCGACTGAAACCCTGTCAGCCCTTGTGCTGCATCAATCTCAACCAGTCCTCAGCACACTGTAAACCCTGAGCTTTAGACTCTGCATCTAAGCTCTCCGCCCTAACCCTTGAGCCCTATAACTCTAAATCCCGAACCCTAGGCCTGATCCTTAAACTCAAAGCCCTCATCCCCACACCAAGACCCTAACCTCTAAACCCTAAACCGCATATCGTATCGCTTGAAGCCCCGAGGTGGTCCTGGAGCGCTTGGTCGAGATGTTGGCCTTCGACGACAGGCCCTTCTTCGGTACCTTGTGTTCAGTGTCTGGGTCTAGGTATAAGGCTTGAGGGGTTTAGGGTTAGGGTTTGGGGTTAAGGGTTCGTTGTCTGGGTGTAGGGTTTAGGGGTTAAGGGTTATAGGGGTTTAGGTCCCTGAAGCCTAAACGCAAGGCCCCAGGCCTCAAACTAAACGGGTTCAGGGCTTTAGTGCATGGGTTGGAAAGGGTTACATATGGGTGGTTGTCAAAATTATGGTCCCTTTTTGGGTCCTTATTATAATACGGCACCTATTATTTAGGGTACCCCAAAAGGGACCCTCATTTTGACAGCTACCCATATGGCTCGGCTTTCAGGTATACAAGAAGCCAGAGAGATGTTTCCGATGTTACCGGATGTTTGGCTCAATGGTTTAATAGGTTACGGTTAGGGCTTAGGGGCTAGGGTTTAGGCGTTACAGGTTTAGGATTTTGGAGTTAGACTTTGTGGGTACTTTTGGGTTTGGGCTGGGGGGGGGTACTTATGCTTGGATGTCGGTATTCCGGAAGAGAGCGGAGGCCGATGTCTGTATGAGAGGTTCAGCGTGGTCGCATAGCCCTGCGCCTGCATGGCATAGGCCGAAGACCTAGCTGCAGTCCTAACTTTCTTGCGGTGTGGATGTTCCTATCAAGATCATGGGCCAGGTCGTGAACCATTTTAGGTTAAGGGGGGCCCATCACCTAAACCTTCCCAAAAATCGCATCACACAGCGGCTTTTCTCCCTAAAGACCGACTCCTGCCAGCCCTAAACCCCAAACCCTGAACTCAAAGCCGTCCTCCCAGGCCCTCTCCTTCCAGCCGGGGTGTGTCTATGGCAGAGGCTGGGACACCCCCGATATAGGGCCCCACGCTGCAAAAAAAGGCAGAGTCTCATGCACCTCAGGATTCGCCTATTGAATTGTGGTTTAGGGTGCAGGGTTTTGGGGCCCAGCGACCATACTAGACACGCCTGTACAGTTATGGAATCTCGGCACAAGCTGTTTCAAAGCTCCAGGTTAGCTTTGAAGGCCTTTGCGAGGTTGTTGATCCAAATTGAACTGAAGACAGCTACACCTAGTTTTTCAGAGCTTCGCGTGCGACCGGGGGCATGGTAGCCCTTGCATTACACAATGCTACTGCCTATCAATGCCCATCCATAAACTGCAAACCCTGTACCGTCAACGACCCTAATAAAGCCTACCTTAGCCTACCAAAACCTACTTGTTTGTAGGGTCCCTATAAATCCCGCATTAGGGCTTTTCAACCAGAACCTATATACAAAAAAGGTCGGTTTGGGATCCCAAGGTACATCCTAGAAGCTACCCCGACCTGTACCCGTCACCCCAAACCCCGTCCCCAAAAAACCCTATACCCTAAACCAAGCCTTATACCCTGACCCTAAACCCTAAACCCTAAACCCTAAACCCTAAACCCTAAACCCTAAAACCCACAACCCACCCCCTAGCAAGCCTGAGCTTCAGCAGCCCGAACCACCCCGCTAGCCCTGAACCTCGCCGCTACAAGGGGCTGGGCAGAGCCACGGTTTAGGGGCCCCTCTTAAGATTTAGGGTTTAGGGCTTTAGGATTTAGGGGTCTAGGGTTTCTCTATGATCTGGGGCATAGTTGCCGGAAGCAGAATGGTAATTTGCAGGCTAGATATCTTGGTTTTCATTATGTAGATACGTAGGGCCGTTTGGGCATACAAGGATTAAGGTTTGTGGTTCTACGGATTTCTGTGTTTTGTATCAGGGCCCCTAATTTTCTCTGAACTGAGATCCTGCATGAAGTACCGGCGCTTTTGGAAATGGGACCTATATATGCATACAAGACATCTGGAATGCAGGATCGTGACAGCTTCACCACATTTTTTGCGGGAAGTTCTGTTTTTGGGCCGCAGGGTGGGGGGAGTGGGGGG